TTGTTTCTCGTTCAAATTTCTGTGTAAGAAACGATCCGATCCTTCCCTCTACCAATCTGCACATGAGAAATCACTCTTGTGGCTGTATTGCACTGCAGTGGATTGAAGTCAACCCCTGGCCGGCTTATTCAAAATCCTCTGACCGTAACAAAGAGCTGTAGCTTTACGTACATGAATAGAGAAGAAACGGTGTTTTGTTTTGGCTGTTGACTCTTCCTCGGGTGACACCCAAAGGCTCAACAGCCGAAATGTTGTGATTCTTCTTTTTACTTTTCAGGGTGGAATTATCTCTTACAGTCAATGCACACTGACTCTAACTTCATATATATATAGTATATACTGTATGTGAGTGTATTCATATTTTGTTGAATAAATCAGTTTCCAATTAAAGTCATAGTGACTGCACCTGTGACATCTGTGGTAGTTTAATGCTGCTGAGGGAGAAAAAAAGAGAAATAGGAAAAAACGCAGATTAATCCTTGAGCTCATGGTCTGTGAAAAACAAGCATAAAGCACTTTTTCCTTGTACAGAATATCATGGGGCTTGGCAGAGAAGAGATTTTTAGATCTTGTGGTGGGAAGCAAGGCAAAGACCAATTATATTTAATGAATCACTGGAAATGGAGAAACAAGCGATAAGGTGGATTTTCTTGTGTTTTCTGAGGACATGGTAGCTGACATTTGGAAAACCATCTTCAAAACCTCAGTTAAATGAGTTAGCATAGGGCTTTAAAAAGGAGACTTTTAAAGAGTGGGAATGCAACACCATTATTGTGACTTGTTGATTTTTCACAAAGGCTACAGTCACTGAGTCATGTTCTATTAACATCTGGGCTCTTTCCAATGGTGGTCAGTGATTAGTGCAAGATGTATTATGTGATGCTTTTGTTAATTAATTTTAACAAAATACAAAAAAACTAAAAGCAATAATATTAGAAACGTAAACGGGCACAGGCCTTGGCAGCATTTCATAATAATCGCATTTAGTGTTAATGTAGAAAATGTTACATGAAGAAACATGATTTTCTGTTGAGTTAACATTGTATACATATCTATTAAATGCACATTCATTTAAAATATCATCATCATTTCATAAGATTTTGTTGATTCCCACGCCTGGAAGCAGTATCATGTCTGAAGACCGAACGACATGCTGTCTGTAACATGCCCAGCAGGTCTGAAGGTCATCTGAGTTGAGCTCACAAAGTTGTTTCTGTGTGGCACACTCTCTGCCTGACCCCAGCCCAGATGTGTGAATGGAAGATAGCACATCCTTAGTCACTGTCACTCCCAGGCAGAGAAGTGACTGCCTGCATGTAGTGATCCCGACAGCACCAAAGTGTATTTGTCATAATTTCCCTGCCTTGTGCCTGTTGCTTAAACCCCCTGTGACCCCGATTTGGAAGAAGAGGTTAGAAAATGGATGGATTAATATTTCAGGAGGGTGCCACACATGAACCTGAACAATGGTGTTTCTTACCCAGCAGTCTCAAACGGTGGTTGAAAGGGTGTGTTCGCGAAATGAAAGGTGTGTGTGGGAACAGGGGGGAAGTCCAGGGTGTCGTCATGTGGTCGAGCCTGGGGGAGTCTCTCAGTCCCTTCCCCCCAGCTCGGCTCCTTCCTCATTAAGAGTATGATTGTCGCTCCTCTGATTACAGCTCCTCCCTCCCTCTGCATTCTTCCAAGAGCATATCGATGGCCCAGGCAAGGGCAGCCCTGCGAGGTGTGCAGGCTTTCATAACAAGAAGATTTGGAACGTGAGATTTTGAGGGGCTATGTGATTAAGACCAATGCCCCTTGTCTCCTTGTGCCCCTTGATGGAGTTCCTTGGCAGCAGTTTAAATCACACCTTCTTATTAGACATTTTGTGAATGCCTTTTCCCAAGCTAGAACATTTTTGGAATTGTAATAAGTTAACACTATACACAGCTAAGTAAGTTGTAACATGCTGTTTAAGTGGATATTAAGACACCCTTCTGAAATGCAGTCAGCCTCTTCCTGCACATTTTGTTTAACCTCTTCCAGTGTGCTTTATTTCATTGGTAAATGTCATTGTCTTAATATTATTATTCCCTCAAGAACCTTAAATGGTTCCTAAATCTTTTTAACCGTTAAGCTCAATTGCAACAGGACGAGGCGACAATTATTTTAGGAAATTGGCCGCAAAAAATGTGTGAGTGATGTATTTTAACTTGAAGATGATTCGGATAGCCCCAGTTTGGCAGGTTTCAGTCCCTTAACCAAAATGTCCACTTCTGGAAAACATCTGGAAGAGATACCTTCTGGAACTCCCTAGTATAAATTAACCCCCAGGTGGGAAAGGGGTCACATCTTGGCACCCCAGTGTCCATCCATCCTTGGGTTCTGTCAGAAAGGGAAGGCAGAGGGAAAACCACAAAGACCAGCCTTAACGTGCTCCCAGCTGGTGCCAGACAGTTGGGAGTTGGTGGGACCAGGCAGCCCATAGTTCATCCTCAAGAGTGGATCTTCTCCAGCTGGGCCCCATTGAAAAGGGGAGGCAGAGATAGAGAGATAGACTATGGATGGAAAATTTAACAGAAAAGCATCCTAGCCCTCTTATAGAATTATCAGGTTGCAGTGAATCTTATTTCCCTTGAACGAGAGCTGGTGCACAGGAGGTATGAGGATCAGAAAAAAAACAGAAATATGTAATTAAAAGGGTGTGAAGCCTGTGCCGGGAGCTGATGTTATTTGAGAGCGTTCTAGGTGCGTGTGTGGAAACCATCAGTCTCTTATGTCTAAAAGGAAGTATTACAAAATACTGTACCCACCTACACCAACACAAATATCCCCACACACTCAGAAATAATTGATAATGCCAGATTACCTGCTGTTCTTGTCACAGACCTCTTTAACTTAGCAGTTGAAAGCTTGAGGAGAAACATTTTAAGGAGTTCCGAACCTTTCTTTGCTCTACTCACTGACATTGATGTAGTCAAGGTTAAGGCTGAGCACTGTCACGCCTGAGTTGCTTACCTAAGTACCTTTGGATACATTTCTGAATCCCCTCACATGTCCGCACACTGTACAAACAGACGCTGAAGCACACACAATGCAAACGCACACAGGCCCCCACATAGCTGTGTGCAGGTTACCATTATCCATGCCCTCAATCTGATCAGAGGTTTAGCTTGTTGTACTAAAAGATCAGTTCGATCAGCCTGTCACTGTCCCAGCAGATGGAGCGTCTTTGTAAGTATCCTATTTGTAGGCTTCTGTGTTTAAAACTAATCTCATTATGATCCAGGTAGATGTTTTAAGTCACCTGGAAGGCTGTAAAGGACCCCTTTGCCTGGATCGAAAATTAGTGGGATTGAAATCGAATTCAGCGCAAAACCTTTTTGTGTGTGACTGTGTATCTGTGGAGACTAAGCACTCTGATTGAGTGTTATCCCCTTATTTGCAACTTCTCCTTTTGTCTACATGTTTGTAGATTATCCAAGACACAACTCCCTGTAAGATTCACAGAAAACCAAAACATCTTGCTAATGTGGATATTGTGGCAATGGCTGTCGAAGATCTGTGTATTTAAGATGGAACACTGTAATTTACAGACTTGCCTGCTCCCCTCCTCCCAGATTCTAGCATGTGAACCAGGGGGCCTGAATAGACTATGTGGAGCAAATGACTGCAATTCTCTTACAGGGTTCACAGAAATGTTTTTTTTTTTCCGTTGGTATAGATAAACTGAGGACAAAAAGAATAACGCAAAAAAACAACAATTGGCCTTTGACTCTTTCACCCCAGTCCCTGAGTGAAAGGGTGTGGCCCATTTCATCTTCAATCTGGCCACATAATAGCACATCTCAAGGGAGTCTGTGCTACTCGAGATAGTTTGTAATTGCAGTCCTGGAATACTTCCAACCCAATTAAAAGCGAGACGGTAGAGTGAATAATGGCACCTTAAATTTAACCGTATTAAGAACGTTGGACATTAGGAAGGGGTGAGGAATGGCATATAGCTGGATTTTCTAGAGTGATGGAGAGTTAGAGGACATCATGGAGGCTGGGGGTGGCAGGTGGAGAGAGTGATGGGAGTTTGAGATCTCTAGTACAGAACCTTAGAGCGAAGGTAGGGAGTTGTGACAATAGCCCTGTATTACAATAGAATCTGAGCTGTAGGGAGAGGGTAGTAGACCTATCATTAGTCAGAGAACTGGAGAGTGAAGGAAGGGGTGGCAAGAGAAGCTGTGTGTTATACCCAAGAGCTTGACAGAGGACAGCTGTTGCATATTATATCAGAGAAGCCATAAAAGCTAGAGAGATATGGTTTTTGAAAGCAACCATTGCACTACAGTATAAGAGAGACAGAAATCAGATCAGGATTCAGAGAAAGAGGGGATAGAGATGGTTAGCTCTTTTTCATCTGCCAGTCATGACAGATGGCATTTAAGCACAGTTGTCCCTGATGTAAAAAAGATTGAATTAAAAAAATGTTTTTTTTTTATTGTTATTAATTGATTAAAATATTTATACCCGGGGCAACTTCACAGGAAAAAAAAAATCATTTTTTGCAAGACAGCTTCAGTGAAGTGAATAAACAATTAACAAAACAAAGCAAGTATACACTAGACAATTAAGCTGCTAAGTCCCCTCTTGCAATTTGATGAAGCGAAGGAGTGATCAGTGGTCACAGAAGCATTTTTGTCTGTTGTTCAGTGCTGTCAGCGATCAACAATCAGAAATCTCTTTCACTGATGCAGTTTCCACAGTAGCCCTAATAAGCATTGATAATAATAAAAGAGCCAATACAATAGTATGCCACCACCCCAAGCATTTGCACACAAAGGTGATTTATTCCAAAAATGAATTAAAACTCACGTCACAGCTCAGCCCTTCTTGAAAGAGAGCGTCCTTTTGGAATGTGAAATGCTGCTCTGTGTCGGAGAAGAACGGGTGGAGGATGATACCTCTTTGCATTGATTTTTTTCCTCACAAGACCCGTTGACTCATCCCCGCTGGTGTCTTGTGCTCCCCAGGGCTCAGGGCTCAGGTGGTGCAGATGGACGCCACCAAGTCGGGCTTTGTGGGCCAGCAGGTGGAGCTGCGCTGCACCTTCGCCAACAGCAACCCCCCGGTGAAGATCTCCCAGGTCACCTGGCAGAAGTTCCTCAACGGCACCAAGCAGAACGTGGCCATCGCCAACCCCACCATGGGCGTGTCCGTGCTGCCGCCGTTCAAGGACCGCGTGAGCTTCAAGAACCCGGCAGTGAGGTACCGCACCCCCTCCCTGGAGGACACCACCATCACCTTCTCTGGCCTGCGGCTGTCCGACGAGGCCGCCTACATCTGCGAGTACGCCACCTTCCCGGCCGGCAACCGCGAGAACCAGGTCAACCTCACCGTGTTCGGTAAGTCCCCGGGCGCCACGCCCTTCGGGAGATATGGAACTGCTCCTCCGAGAGGACAAGGAAGACAAGAGGAGCTCTGCAAGGCAGCCCGGTGACATGCTGCTGAGCTGAGAGCACCCTTAGCTGGATTACAGGTTGATTTTGAAATCTGTGGTGCTTAACGTCTTTACACACCGTAGAAATTAGTTGGGTTTTTTTTTGCCGATTACATTGTTCTTCCCAATCCAAGACAAATGGGCTCGAGTAAAATGTATGAGATTATCTATTTTCTCAAAGCTCATTTTCTTATCTGTGAAGCCACCATCCATAACACCTATAAAGCCTCATAGCTGCGCTTCATATGGCTGAACATTAATAAACACTGCACATCAAAACTTCTCTGTGCGCATTATGTCCATCCACCCAGTTTCTAAGCACTTAATCCAATGCAGGGTATTGGGGAGAGCCGGAGAGCATAGTTAAAGTAAACAGTAAGGTGTCAGTGAGGTTTAGTTATTGTTTGTTTTCAGTTAAACATTTAGTAAAGGATGATTTAGAAGATGAATGACTCCAAATCTACTGTTTAAGTGGAGAAGCACTAAGGTCTACTATCCCAGTAGTTCTTCCTAAATGTAATTCCAGTAATTAAATGTTATATTATATGACATAGTTATTGCTGTTTCACTGCATGGTTTTTTCTCTCAATAAATGCACCACAAAAGTAAATCCATACATTTGCATAAACAACCCTGTTTTTATTTTATTCTGAAACAGCCCAAAATGATTTAGTCATTTTAAGTGTTCCCCCATGGACGGATAGAGCACAAATTGATTGCCTTTGCATTAGTGTAGAACAAACTAAAAAAAATCAATAATTCATTTTTTCATGATTTTTCAGAATCTTGCCTGAAGCAATGCAGTCCCTTTGTCCCAGGCAGGGAAACAGTTATACTGTTTAACTAACCAAGAGGAAGCTTTTTGAAAAGGTTAGGCGTTGAGTCTCATTAGAGATATCTAATTAGAAATCAAGTGCTGGTGTTTTTCCGTTAAGCTGGCAGGGGAAAGCGTTTGGCTTAAGTGGTCCCTATTGCCAGTACTTCTTGTCAACTCAAAGCAGGGTGTGTGTCAGAAAGCATCCCGCAGACTGGTCATAATACAGCAGTCGGAGCTCTGAATCGCTCTTCACCATGTCATTAACGCCTCAGCTAAATTCATTGTTTCTGGTCTGCAGTGACTGAGACTCAAGCATAGACATTGATCTGCAGTACAAAGTTGCAAGTGCACAAAAATACATTCATAAATGACTCTATTTTTACTCATAGCTAGGGGGCAGCTGGTTTTTGGAACAGTTTACTTAATCACCTGTATTTGACCTCTGTCTTTTTTAAATGAAATCTTTTGTCACATAATTCTACAGTCCATGAGTTTCAGCAGGCTCTACTTCACTCTAATCTTTAATACTATCAAGGAGACAGATATCAAGAACCTGTTTCAATGTCCGATCTACATGTACAGTATTAGAAATAATAGGAGTTTATGGCTGTGTAGCCATAAACATGAAACAGGAACAAGTAAAGGTTAATTCCGTGCTGAAATATAGAAAGAACACTATGAAACACTATGTCTATAAAAATAGACAACCCAGAGGCTGCCTCACGCCTGAAGGAGGCTCAACAGCCAAAATGCCATGTTTCTTTTTTCTGCTTTTTCGTATTAACCTTGACGTCTTCCTCTGCAGCCAAAGCATGCTGATGCAGCTCCCCCTTGAGCATTAAGCAGATTATATGTTCAGTATAATTTAGGCATTACACCTCCCTTTGTTATAAAGAAGTAAAGAAACAAGCACAGTATGACAGCATTTTAGCCCTCAGGTTCTGTAGAGGTTATGAGTCCGTTTTTTTTCTGACCTGTTTTGTCTTGTTGCGTTGTGTGTCCAGCTCGGCCCACCACTCGGATGACCCTGACCTCCCCCACCATCGTGGCTCGCTCGCGGCCCAGCAAGATGACGGTGGCCACCTGCCTCTCGGCCAACGGGAAGCCCCCCAGCATCATCACCTGGGACACCCGGCTGAAGGGCGAGCCCACCTTCCAGGAGACGCAGAACGCCAACGGGACTGTCACTGTGTACAGCGACTACGTGCTGGTGCCCAGCCGCGAGACCCACCGGCAGAAGCTCACCTGCATCGTCACCTACCGCAACGAGAAGATCTCTGACAGCGTCACACTCAACGTGCAGTGTAAGAGTCACCCCGCCTCCTCCTGATGTGGGAGACATGTTGTGAGCCACTGTAGGAGTGGCTGGGAAGTTAAGTTCAGGACATCTCATCTCAGCAGTACAGCACTTCCAGTAACCGCTTATCGAACCCAGGACCACAGCGGCCCTGAGCCTGTCCTGGGAAACATTGGGCGAACGGAGGCTGCTCCCTGGACGAGCAGACTCACTGACACAAGCATACACACACTTGAACAAGGGCCAGTTTCCCCAGAAACCAATTAATCTACCTGTGTATCTCTGGACTGTGGGAGGTAACCGCAGCCCCTAGAGGAAACCCAGACGAACACGAGGAGAATGTGCAAACTCCATGCTGGTAGCTCCCTAGGAGTGGAACCCAGGGGCCAAGAGGCAATGATAATCACTATGCCACTGTGCCCACAAGTTCAGAACAGTATTATATCGTACAGCATGTTACACCAGACTACAGTACTTCACAGCACAGTACAAAGCAGTGAATTTGAGTATAGAACAGTACAGTGAGTTATAGTGACTGTATAGCACCATTCAGCATGGTACCTAGTGCCTTTCAGTTTTTGTGTGATATGGATTTGGCATACTGTTGCCATCTTTTTATCTTTTATGCACACCTGTATTGTGACATTTACAAACATCCACCTCACATTCAATCCAGTGAGCTAGGAAGTGTAGCTACCGTTTGTGTGACTCTTTCATAAGGTTAAAGCACTTTTCTGCTTGAGATGCTGGGCTACCGTTCCCATCATATTCAAGAAATTGCTCAAAGACGTGCATCCAGACTCATAAACCCGTGTTTTCTTTCATGCTGCTTCAGAGTGTTTGTTTTCAGGTGTTTTTTTATCATGATTGCACAAAGTTGGCCTTGATAAAACAGGAAGATGCCTTAGAAGATAAAAAAGAACACATTTGTAAGGAAAATATTTATGCATTAGTCTTTAATTCATATTGAACAGAAAGAATCAAGTACAAAGTGTAGGCTTGTTTAATCTTGTAGTTTTCTGGAGCAGTCAAGCTGGGCACTTTTAACTGTTTGGCCTTCTGTTATTTTGAATGAAACTGGTGACAGTGTGAGCAGCTGTGTTGCCAGCTGTAACAACATGTGATCACAAGTGGTGCTATTAAAGGTTAACAGGGTTAGGTCCAGATGTCAGATGCCTGAGCCTGGGTCATGTCACTAGCCGACTGCAATTCCCCCAACAGCAGTGTGCAGTTGGCTGAGCACTGCCTGCACTGGTTTAGGATTAGCTGTTCAGGCACTCTTTGGCTTCCTTGAAAACAATTTCTCCCCTGACCTCCTCAATTCTTACTTGCCTGTCATGCACTGTGTGGGTTTGTGACATGTCAAACGAGGACACCAGCTTTAAACGAGCATGTCCAAGTGGGAACTGGAGTCAGTTTTCTCATTGGTGGCATATAAGCTTGGAAAAAAATATGGACATCTTAAAATTAAGTATAAGGATGATGGACTTAGCAGGGGCTGCACAGTGGCCCATAGCTTAGCATTGGGCCCTGGGCCCAGAGTGCTGTCTGTGTGGAGTTGGTATGTTCTCCCTGTTTCTTCCTGGGATTCCTCTGGGTGATCTGCAGTCGAAAGACGAGCTGGTGGGTTAATTGGCTGCTGGGAAACTGATGTGTCACGACTCTGCCTGACCTGGGACTGAGGCAGAATGAGCCTGTTGCTTTCCGGGATCAGTTCTGGCTCCTGCGCTGCCCTGTACTGGGTAAAGCGGTTATTGACAGTGATGTGATGATATAATAATTTTCCAGGCAAGAGCGGGGATGTCTAGCCACCGACAAAGTGACTTCCAGGGCCCGTCAGCAGCAGACTAACATAAACATCTCTCCACAGACGAGCCCGAAGTGGTGATCGAAGGGTTTGATGGCAACTGGTTTGTCAACCGGCAGGACGTGCAACTCAACTGCAAGGCTGACGCCAACCCACCCGTCACCGTGTACCAGTGGAAGCTGTGAGTGTCTCCAGGGTCTCTGCATCCTGTTTGCCATCTCCCAAGCATGGGCACTGCACTGGCCAGGCATGACAGTGCCCATGTGTGGTACTGCTAGAATTATTTCAACTTACACTATTCAAAATTTAAAGATAAAGGTTTTAGCACTGGTGTACTTAGGCTAGTGATGATGCTGCCAGTACATTTATGCATTTTTTATAGAATCTTATGGTTGCTGTATGAATGAATCTAAAAATGTAATCGCTTTATTTGTTGTCTTTGGACATAAATCATCAGAATATATCAGAATTGTAACACAATTCTAACAGAATGATAAAGAAATACAGATTCCAACAAAACCTACAGTAGCAAGTATGTACTTATAAACACCTGCTTTCTTGCAAGCAGAAACTAGTCCCAGAACTAGACTGGCACGACTTTCAGTTCAGTTTGCTGAACTGGCTCCAAGGTGACAGAAACTGAGATAATTTAGGCAGCTGTTGTGCATGGTTTCACTGTACTGTATAATCTAAAGTACAACTGATCACAGTAGAAACTATTATGTTTGCACCTCAATGATACTGAAAGCCTCACCAGCAGGCAGGCGAGCCATCAGTCCCGTATCAGGAGACAAAGTTCAAAGACATTTCTTGAACAACAAACAAATCGCATCATCCTGAGTCAACATCATGAACTTACTTTGCTGTCAAAGTGCCTAGATTTCATCTCCTATGTTAATGAGCTTGCTATGTGCTTTAATATGGCAGGCTTATTGTTCACTTAGTGTTCATTTTGTACAAACGTGTTTTCTTTTTTGGCATTACTCTTTATACTTTACGAACCCATTTTGAAAGTCTGGACCGGTGCCTTAGGAGCAACATTACAATATCGTATGATTTCCGATGTCCATCACGTGTATATGGGCTTAGCCACAGGATCAGAAGCACCACAGCTGTGATTCCTCATCGAGCTTGTGTTTAATGCAAACTTTTCGCCATGCAGTTTGAATGGATCCATGCCCACCAACGTAGAGATCCGCAACAACACTCTGTTCTTCAAGGGGCCCGTGACCTATGACCTGGCAGGAACATATGTGTGCGACGCCACCAACAGCATCGGGACCCGCTCGGGGCAGGTGGAGGTCAACGTCACCGGTAGGTCGCATGGCGGGCTGCTTTCCTCTTCTGCTAAACTGTTGGGACGAGCAACTGGATTCTGCAAAGACCTGGGCAAGGGCAAGGGCATCTTACTGCTTACTGCTTACTGCAAGCTTTTTCCCGTGTTTGAAATGAGGTCATTTCACCCCTTCTGGGATTCTTTACCTTCACTTTCCTCAGGGAGGTTCCATCTTCCACCTTGTCTATACATTAGTTAACCACTGATCAACATTAATTGGATCTCAACACTAACATGCGTGTGTCCCCGTGTTTGCCCCGTGATGGACTGGCATCACATCCTGCCTTGCACCTATTGCTTGCTGGGATAGGCTCCAGCTCCCCCACGATCCTGAATTGGATGAAACTGTTAGAAAACGGAGAGACGGATCCTCCTGTTTCCTGTTTGTGTACCTCTATAAGTCCTGTCTGCTTGTTCTATCTATATGACAGGCAATCCTTCTCTTAGTCTCCTTCTGCACCTGCCCTCTTGTTTGTCTGGTCTCCTGACCTCTGCACACCACGCCTTACACAAACCAAATGCTGCTGTCCAGGTGCCTATCAGTGAAGTGTATGAATAACACACACACAGAGAGGCACAACAGGTCTGACTCCTCAGGGAGTGTGTGACAGAATCCAGAGATCAGGAACTGAACCTCCCTTTGTCTCTCCTGTTCATTTTCACATAACAGAGAAAGCCAAGCTACCATCTGTGTTGCTTCCCTGACTCTGAAAAACTGAGAAAATGTGAAGAAAAGAGCAATCCTCTATTCCAACCAAAAATAGATCAGCCGAGTAAATTGCAAATTGAAAATATTTTTTTTTTGGTTTTTAAAAGGTATAAGACCCGGCTTGCCATATTTTGTAATGAGCTGGCACTTCTCTACCTCTGCCTTTGTAGTTGAATCCCTTTGCTCGTTTTTTTTTCAGGCAAGCACAAAAGAAAAAAAAATCAGATCAAAACTGTTGCAGTTTTAGTCCCTCTGTGCGGTGGCACAATTTCATTTGACTGCAGTGAGAATCTGTGCTTCAGTGTTTCCATTTGAAAGGACAGATTTCCATCACAGAAGCGCAGTTTGGCTTTTTCCATGTTGATGTAAGCCCGGCCAAGGTGACTCGCTCACAATAAATACAGTTTGCTGGAGCCCATGCAAGGGTGGCGGTTTTGTTTTGGTTGGAGCTGGTGGCAGTGTCTTTCTGCTTGGTTTGGGGGAACCTAACGCTGTTTCTTGCGCAATGATACTTGTGACTTATTTGTGTCCTATTCTCTTTGTCAGGGCTGTCTCAGTCTGGTGTCCTCTCAGTTCTCTGCTATATTCTTGTGTTGCAGCTGTTGTTTTCCACCCTCTGTTACGAAAAGACATCACTTACTGTATACAGTGCTAGGCAGGACCGAGAAAGGAACTGGACTGGAATGTTTCTAGAACTTTGTCTTCCTCTGACATTCTCCATGACAAATATCTAGTGTGGGTTTTAGTGATGGAAACAGATTGTATCAGTATCTCAGTATCCACCTTAAAGGTCCTTTTCGTGACCTTTTGTTTATTCTTCAGTAGGAATCTTGGTTTATTTGAGAAAAAGTAATGAATGCATATGATTCTTTTTGTTTGCCTTTAGTATAACAGTCACACACTGCAAACTGTTAGAGATCCAGCAGGATGTTGTGCGGTTTGTGTTCTGTGGACAGTGAAATATATGGAAAATGCTCTGGTATGTGGAACACCATTGATTTGAACTTTTATGTGGATGATTAAATCACAATATTGTTTATGTTTGTTGGAATTGGTTTGGTTTATTGGAAACTGTTTATTGGAAATTGTGTTCTGTAATTTCACTGGTTTCAAGGAAAGAGATGAGTGGATTCTGATCTCTCGAAGGCTTTCTCCGGCTCTCCTTGTCCTGGCTGCTCCTCGGGGACTGCGCCTACACGTGCTCACAAGAGCGGTGCACACACAGGGGAGAGTGAGTCAGTGGCACCCCTTTGACATCTCTCCCCCACAGACAGACTGGCACAACAGGAGTTCCTTACATTTACATTTAAATGTATGTGTTTAAAAGCACCCTTAAAACCATCCATTTTCCATCTGCTTTTTTATGCTATTCAGAGTCGTGAGGGTACCGGGGCTTATCCTGGCTAGAATCAGTCACAAGGCAGGATACACCCTGGACAGCATGCCAGCATTCTGGCATCTTAGAGCAACTTTCACAAATCACGAAATCTTAACAGTTTAATGGTTGCAACTCAAAAACTGTCAGTCCAGTTTTCTATGTGTTCAAATAGAATTTGGCATCTGTAGTGGGAGATTCTCTGCAGAGTTCTATCAAAATGTGTCTTAACCTCACTAATCAAACTCTTCTGGCTCAGTGCCTGTCTCAGAGTGCAGCAGATTTTAGTGATGTTAGTGTTAGGGATGTCGTTCCCATTAACCGCTACTGGAAAAAGAACCTACTCTAAGACTATCAACTCTTAATAAAACTGAAACCTGTCCTTTCAGTATGGAATGTGTTAAAAATGTCAGGAAGAAATCTATCTGGAAAAAAAAATAGCATAATGTAATTAGTGTAATTGTAGTGCAATCTTTAATATAACACTGTACCACCATTATAATCTCAAAATCACTGTAGTCATAACATAATAATCATAATAATCTTATGCCTAAACTTTTTATGTAACCTAGTGGTGATTCCAAGCACCCCTGATCTTGCATCTGCAAAAAGATGTTTGTGTTTAAAACACTTCTTTTGTTAACAATATGTCCTTGTAATTCTGACGCGTTAATGGTAAACCGAAGGCAGCTACAATTTATGAAAGAAAACAGTATTTTTCATTAGAAAGTGAAGAATGGAAGGTTATCCAGTTGCTGGGTGAGGAGGAACTCCTAGAATTGTAACTTCTGGTATCTGGCAGCAAAGAGAGCCCTGCCAGGGAAAACTGACAGAGACAGAAAAAGAGAAACGTTTTTTCTTCCTCTCATGTGATTGTGCTGAAACGAAGGCCTGGAGATTGCTTCACCACTGTAGCCTGGACTCGGATTTCTCTTTCTGGTCTCCTGAAGAGGGGAGCCCTCACCTACTCTCCTTCAGTGTGTAACTGTTTTATTTGCAGTGTTCGTGTTTTATGGCTTGATCTTTCTGTTGTGTAAAAATGCATGGTTGCTTTTTTTTTTTTAAAGCACGAGGATTCTTTGGAGAGCTCACAGGCTGAAGCTCACTGTGACAAACAGTGCAATGTCATGATTTCAGTCAAGAGACAGCTGGCTGTCAAGTGGCTCTATCTGTGCTGCAAGAGACCTGCTTGTGACTTGTGCTTAGGCTACTAAAGGCAACAGATAAGGTAGCTTTACAGCAGTGACCCTTTCCTTTAAAGTTTGTTTCTGATTACTTCCTTTAACGCTGAGAGCCAAAGATTCTGGGCTTCTGTCCCAGACCTGCCTCTGATTGTGCGCAGTTAACTTCCTCACTCCTGTCTTTCAATCATGGCCTTCACGGTTTCTGCAAAAGAAGAAGATCCCATTATGACTGGCACCTTGATATCAGGGAGGTCCTGAAGCATCCCCACAGCAGCCATTTACAGAGGGAACAACTGTTCTATAATGGCAGTTCTATAATGAGACGTTAGATACGTCTCAAGTGCTGGGATAAAGCATTAAGGCCACAGTTGGCAACTTTGTTGCAGAAAACTTGGACAGAGATATGCACAATGCCTAGAAATCTGTTAATTGCTCTGGATCCAGACATCCAGATCTTATAAAGAAGCCAGAATTTTAGAAAATAATTAAAAATGAAAAAAATGATGTGAAGGAAACAGCTGTGACTGATGCTATAGGTTTTTGATTGTTAAGAGAGGATGAGACTGACAGAGTTTCTTTACATAACCATACAGGATGTGTTACCAGTACAGAATGGTTGGAGGGTTTGATCAATTTTAAAGAACAGGTTTTGAATTAAAAAACATCATTTTCCTCTAATTTTTACACATTTCCCAAGAAATTTCTAATTGGATTGAAAATCAAACATAACCTTTTCTATGAAAACAGCTAATAAAAATGTCTTACATTTCTCACAGTTTGTTTTACAGGTATTCATAAATAGCAATGGGTAAATAAAAAGAAAAACGACTTATGTCTCCTCTGCTCAGAGGATGATCAGTTATCATCCTCTGAGCAGAGGATAAAAAGATCTCTACTTCTGTGCTGCTAACACCTTCTAACATGTCTAATATAGTGTGTGGCTTTTCATACGCATGAGCCTAGCCAGGTAGATAATGAGAATAACAGATTACACAAGCAGTATCTTACTACAAGCCAGCAACAGCTTAATCAGATATAAGCTTATTTTGCAATCTTCATCTGAAAATTTATGGGAAATTTTCCAATTGGAAAACTGTCCACATTCCGGTCAAGACCATTGCCTGAAAGTTTACAATTCATTGCTATCCTTGGATCCTTGGATATGCTCACCCAAACAAATATTTGCTGTTATTGTTTTGTTAGGTACAAAGGCCCCAGACTCTACAGTACATTACAATAATATTCATAGATGAATCAAGTTATTCATCAAAATACTCGAGCAACATCTGGAACATAACCTTGATTTTGAAAGCTGTTGGCATGTGGCCTTTAATAACTTTTGAGAAAAGTTTAAAAAAGATTCAAAGTTGATAAACTAAGCAAATGTGCAGTGTAAAATGAACATGGCTAAATGCTGTTTTTAATTAGAAACTGCAACCATTTTAATAAACCAAACATTCCCCATCAGCAACATGCAAATGACTGTTTAAACTCCACCAGAAGAACACAGGATGATTCTTGTTTTAATTAATTTCCTCACGCCTTCGCTCAGCGACTCAATTTGTATGTGAGCAAGTTGAAAGAGTGGTGTTAGTTCAGCTATCTCCCAGCTGCGCTGTTTTAAACATTTGTTTTTTAGGCAAAAGCAAAATGTTTTTGCAAAGAAAAACTTAACTTGTCGGTCTTCTGATCAATCACTCTTGCTGTCAG